CATAATTTGCAAATAAATTTGTTCCAAATCAGCCGATGTGATTTGTCTGGATTTGTTTTCTCATTTTGTCTCTCATAGTTGAGGTCTACCTATGATGCCAATTACAGGTCTCTCTCATCTTTTTAAGTGGGAGAACTTGCACAATTGGTGGCTGACTAAATACTTTTTTGCCCCACTGTAAATAAAAATTAAAAATGCAAACAAATTTAAAAAAAGTAAAGTTTATAAAATAAAATTAAAAATAGAAAAAAACTTATTTTTTGGTGTGGCATTTTAAATAAACATTTTTTTAAATTATATTATAATCTTCTGAAAAACTGGAACAGACAGCAAAACAAACGTGACCCTTCTCTATGCTTTTCAAAACTAAAAACATTTTTTTGGCTGGAGTTGCACTTAAAAAATTTACCTGTTCCGACTTACATACAAATTCAACTTAAGTACAAACCTACAGTCCCTATCTTGTATGTATCCTGGGGACTGCCTGTACAATGCACCCCCCTATCTATGAAGTTTTAGAATTCATACATATTGATGAGAGTACAGTATCCGACAAGTCAGAAGTCTGCTGTCTTCTATGCTGGTGTCAAGTCAGCAAGTGATGGTGCAGCATGATGTGTGTAAAGATATCAGGTCCTCAGAGATGGTAGTGCAAATTGGTGAGCTATGCTCAGTAAAAGTTCCTATATGTTTTCTACTCATAGAATGTACAAAACATCCACAATGTTTGGTTTAATTGATTTCATTATTTCATAATTTCATACTGTACATTCATTTTACAGGTATGGGTTGGCACTGTTGGTGCAGGTCCAAAAGGCCGAAAACTTTGTGCAACATTTCAGCACACAGAGACTTTTGATTTTCAAGATGAAGTTGGTGCCCTTTTACTGTCAGTGTGCCAGACTGTAAGCCATGGAGTACTTTGCTTTCTACCATCCTATAAGGTAAACACCCTCTGTAGTTGTGATGTATGGTAATTAAAGATAATTCATTACAAGTCTTTGCTTTCTGATATAAATGTATTAACTCCGTGTATGTCATCTTAAAACATTCTAGTACAGTGTTATTACCCAAAAGTTAAATTAAATCATTGAAGTGCACAGAAGAGACTTTTCTGAATAAAGTGGGCATGTTGCTTTTACACGGGGTGTTTGTTTAACATTTTAGGGCCCATTGACACCTTGCCAATCCGTTGCAGTACATTGACCAGATGTGCATAATGTCCCATGTTGAAGTGCGTTGTATTAAGGCAGACTATTTATTTGCATGTGCTGCCAATGCATCACATCCTACCAAAAATTGGACCTGCTAGGCAGTTGTTTTAGTGCACTGCAATGCAGGTGGATGGCACTGGAATAGACTAGTACGGTACTACCAACAATGAAGTGGAACCTGTGTATTAAATAAAGAAATAAACAATTGCATATATTTACATAATTTATATTCGAGTTTTGATATTTCTCATTTGAGACCATGGGCATATGAGGTGCAGCCAAAAACGTTATACAAAGACCTCATATGTCAAGTGGTATAGCCCCCCACCACCTTACCCCCTCCCGGCTGTCAAACATTTGCTTTGAGGAGCCCTAACAGTGGTTTGTGTGCAGGTGCAGCATAAAAACAGTAGTTGCTCATTTCTTCAATAAATACTTTGTAACCGTAATGTTACAATATGTTTTGGTGTAGCATTTGTGCGGACCAAAGGCTTATTGCTTTGCCCTCCAGCAAGTTTGCTTGTTTTTTTAAAGCTGAAATCTGGCTTAAAGGAGAACTATGGGGTCAGTGTTTTTCCCCATAGTTCTCCTTAGGGTAACGGGAGGACACAAACTAGTGTCCTCCCGTTACCCTAAGCTCAGTATACCGCGAGCCACGGCTCATGGTATACTGAGACGCCGCAGCCGGAGCGGATACGCCCAGCTGCGTGAGTGACAGCTGGCTCTGCCTATGTAGAGGCAGAGCCAGCTGTACCCGCCCCTCCCCATCCGTTCCGCCAGTCAGCGCTGGCAGAGCGGGGAATCCAGCCCCTCCCCCTGTCTTCACACAGCAAAAATGTAAAAAATGTGTCAGTCATTTATGAACAGAACCTGAAAACTAGCTCAGTCATGAAGGGGTTAAGCACATGTTGTCAGTACAAGAGGCATGTGCATGCTTACTTGAATTGTGGTGTCCTTTGTGTATTTCTTCCAGGATTTGCCATAATCCAGCATATTCCAGCATGAAACAACTCCTGCACATTGCCTTTGTGCAGTAGCTTTATGTAATAAAAACCAGGATCACTTATTTCTCTCTTTGTACAGGGTGACTGGTCTTGTTCCTGCTCCCTGTAGTTTTCTACAGGCAGCGTGTAGTCTGTGTGTGCGTGTGCGCATGTGTGTGAGATGGGTGGTTTCCCATCCACACCTCTTTACTGGCTGGCTATACACGGTACAGTGACAGTTTTACATCTACTATTATAAGATAATATCTGGGTTAGCAAAGACATGTAGTGCACACAAAGTAGATTCATATGCTTTATGGCTAATAAAGGATATATATGGAAAAAAACTTTGACTCCATCCTCTCCTTGTTGCCTTAGATATTTTTTAGGATTTTACCTCCTCAGAGTTTATTTGTAAATAACTTCTCCATGCTTTGTTTGCACAGCTTTTTTTATTATGGTCAGAAAAATACAATTATAAAAGAGTTTTCTTTTATTTTTCTTTCTAAGTTAGGTCAATATTAAGGATTCCTTACATTTCCATTAGATCCGACAGATGAAACTTTCAGTCCCTTTTTCACAATTTTTGTTTCTATTCCTTTATAGCCTGTTTTTAAAAAGTCTGCTTTTACAGACCTTAGTAATTCAGGTGAAATATACATACACATGTACACATGTGACTTACCCCTTAGTCTGCAGCTCATTCTGAGGTTTCAGTCAGACAAATTCTGCCTCAGTGCAGGTTGCTTCTCTTCTGCTCTTAAGCAGCCCTGTAATGCTTTGGGACTCTTTTGCCATGCATGTATTGTTTGTAAAACAAAAAGCATAAAACTGAACCAAAACCATTATAACTAAAGCTTTATTTACCCATAAAATCAAGATTTTTTTTTTCTAGGGGTGGCTAAACATTTGCTGTTTTATCTACCTCCATGTGGTTAAAATCACAGTAAAGTATAAGTATAATATTCCCATATCATGCAAAGGTCTGGCACACATTGCTGTGCTTATGGCAGTGCTCATAGCTGCAGCATTTAAAATTGGTTCCTGCGGTGAACAATAAAAGACATCCTTTTGTTCGTTCATGTTAGTTTAAATCTCAGGTAACCTGAGAACAATTTCTCAAATTAGCTAGCAGGATTTAACAAAAATTAAAATGTTAGCTTTTAGTTTTAGGCTGAGAAGTACAGAAACTTTTCTAAAATCCTAGGGATGCGAGGTGTTTCCAAATAAAGGACAAATTAATTTATTTTAATGCATTTTTTTTAGCTGTGCTATTTTTGTAAAAAAATAACAAAAGTCAAAACTGGGTAAAAAGTGTTGACTTTGTTTTTTCCTAATTTTTTAAAATATTATATAAGTGAGGCGTTAGGTACACATATGTGATATGAATATATAGCCCTATCTGTCCTCTAATGTCCTATAAACACTATATAATATGTGTGGGTGCACTTAGTAAGAAAGTATATTACTGACGTGGAAGAATCACACAGCTAAAAAGTAAAAAGTGCGTCAGTCATAAATGAACAGAAACTAAAAGCAAGCTCAGCCCTGAAGGGTTTACACAAACAATTTTTAACAAAAATTACCCAGTGTCTTCACGCTAGATCTTAGCTTTGAGACAAATGCACTGGCAACTAATTATTATGGTTGCCATGTTTGCAAGGGAAACTTGTTTGTTTTTTCAGGACTTAGGCAGATATCAGCAACTATGGGTCATGTTCACTGTAATATATTTGCTCAATGTGGTCACGCAAATGTATACAGTATTGCACTTTTTTTTGAAATCATGAGTTACTTAAAATGTACCTCCACTCCACGGATGAGACAATTTCTTTGCTAGATAGACAGCAGGTAACAATGCCCTACAGCTTAATTGACTTATATTGCTGTCCTTCACTCCTCTAGTCTGAGTGCTGCTATGGAGAAGAATACAGAAGGTTGATAATTAGATTGGGCTAGTTACTTATGCGGGTTTGGTGTAAAAATGCATTGAATTATTCTCGATAAATCCTTAAAGGAGAATTATGGGGTTAGTGCTTTTCCCCATAGTCCTCCTAAGGGTAATGGGAGGACACAAACTAGCGTCCTCCTGTCAACCTAAGCTCAGTATACCACGAGCTACAGCTCGCGGTATACTGATACGCTGCAGCCAGGACGGATCCCGACATTACTGTCGAGATCCACCCAGCTGCGGGATTGACAGCTGGCTCTGCCTATCTAGAGGCAGAGGCACTGTGCCCGCCTCCTCCCCCGTCCGTTCCACCAGTCAGCGCTGGAGGATCGGACAGGGAAGGGGGGGCTCTGCAGGGAGCCGTGAGTGACAGTCATGGCTCTCTGCAACGATAGATCGAGAAGTGAGCGAGCAACGCTATGTGTTCGCTCACTTCCCAATCTATTGAGCTGATCTGTGACAGTTTCATTGTCACAGGTCGGCTAGAACTATGAGGTGAGTGATTTTCACTTGTCTCATAGTTCTCCTTTAACTCGGTTAAATGGTGGATTTGTATATCTGCCTGTTGTTAACCACTTGCCGTCCGGCCGTTATAAATAAACTGATGGGCGGCAACCTCCTATCAAGGTGTGGATGTTACTATATATTCTTTTTTTCTGCGCAAGCAGAATCCCACAGTAAATGTAAACAGCTGGTACCGGCTGTTCCATACAAGCGTTTGGGTGGCTCTATAGCCATCCGATCGATTGTATACTAGCAAACAGTGTGCGCCACCCCTCTGCTGTTGCGCTCCTGTCCCATCATCAGCTTCTTTGGGGGTCTCTATGTGACAATAGGGGTCTTAGAGACCCCTGATGTCTCCATAAAGAGGACCTGTCATTGTATTTGTGTTATCACATGGGGAGCTTGTTAGCCCCCTATGTGGTAGCAATAAAACTAACTAAAAAAAAAAGTAGTCACATGTTAAAAAAAGTCCCCTGCTCCCGCATGCACACACATATAAAAGGAAATATGCGTCGGATGCGCCTACGTGTGAAAACAACAATTACAAAACACATTGCATATTACTGGGAACATCACAGTGAGAGCAATAAAGCTAGGGCCGTTAATCACTGATATCACTAAATTAATGAGCGGTAAAAGCTTTTAAAGCGCTGCCTATGGCCAATTTTGGGTATGGTAGCTTCTTTGTGATTTTTAAAGCTTGACATGTTTGGTGTCTATTTATTTTATATTTTACCCAAAAATTGGGTTATAATAGATGTTTCATAACATAGGGAAAACATTTTTTTTTACATTTTCTGTACTTTTTTTCATTATATAGTAAAAAAAAATATAAAGCCCAATCGTGATTAAATACCACCAAAAGAAAGCTCTATCTGTCCTCATAAAATGGTATAAAATTAATTTCAGTACAGCGTTGCATGACGGAATAAACGTCAGTCAAAGTACCGCAGCGCTGAACACTGAAACATGGCCTGGCCAGGAAGGGGGTCTAAACACCTGGTCTTGAAGTGGTTAATATTAAGCCTGTGCTGATGTTTCAGTATGTTTATATAGATATTACATATATATACTCCATTCTAGCACAGTTTAAAGTTATGCAAAGTTTGTAAGCACACACAATTATTTTTTGCGAGGACCCATGCTATCACATTACCTTGTACAGTATGTGCGGACTGGGTGTCGCATATACAGTATGTTTTTAATGCATAGATTGGATTGGATTTGGAACTCTTGCTATGTCTGTCTTTCATTCCCTTTGGTTTGTTATTTGCTTAAGCTGTGTGGTGGGT